CCACTTCTTAACCCAGTGACAGATCAGGAAAACAGGATTAGACCCAGGAATGGCAGAACAATGGAGGCCTATATAGGTTTAAGTGTCCCTGAAAATGTGAACTGGCTTCACATCCATGGATATAAGTTATCTTATCGTCCTGTAACACTGCGTATCTTTGGGTCACCAAATGTTGTAACGATCTGATTAGCTCCCTCTACGTTTGACTGCCAGATGCCATCGACGTCATGACTGCATACCTAAGGTCTGTCCAGACAGTCAAATGCTGTAACCAGGTCTTTCTTGGTCTGCCCATTCTCCCCTTTCCCTCTACTGACCCCGCTAGTTTTCTTTTAGAGAGGCCGTTAGAGTTTATTACCGGTGTGTTTGATTGCAATTTCTGCCTTTTTACTGTAGTTTTAAAAAAGTTTATAGTTGCCAGTGTGATGTATATAAGACAGTAAAGGACTCTTATCCTTCATTGGCATATAAGGATATACCTATATTTTATAGATCAGTCGGCACTGGGTGGTCAATGTGATCAGTATTCCGCCGGCAGCTTTTACTTCCGAGGGATGTTTCCTGAACTACTTTAAGACTCGTTCAACATGCAAGCCGGGGTTGATTTTAAAAAAAAATGCCCTTCCGTTAGGACCAGAAACCGCAACCTTCCGATCCACATGCGAACGTCTAGCTGGTACACTACGCCAGCTTCCCAATGAATAGAAGTACTTTATTTGTTAAAGTACTGAACCTATACACACCGAGCATCCCTTGTTTCATGTACTGGCTTCCTTGGGTAGACCAGACCTATATTTGTTAAAGTACTGAACCTATACCCATTGAACATCCCCTGTTTCATGTACTGGCTTTCTTGTGTAGACCGGACCTATATTTGTTAAAGTACTGAACCTATACCCATCGAGCATCCATTGTTTCATGTACTGGCTTCCCTGGGTAGACCAGACCTATATTTGTTAAAGTACTGAACCTATACCCATCGAGCATCCCTTGTTTCATGTACTGGCTTCATTGGGTAGACCGGACCTATATTTGTTAAAGTACTGAACCTATACCCATCGAGCATCCCCTGTTTTATGTACTGGCTTCCCTGGGTAGACCGGACCTATATTTGTTAAAGTACTGAACCTATACCCATCGAGCATCCCCTGTTTCATGTACTGGCTTCATTGGGTAGACCGGACCTATATTTGTGTAGACACACGCAACTGATGGATGACATGATCAAGTTGACGTTTGGAAGACTCACTATGAGTGAAAGAATGAATACATAAACGATTGAAGAACTGAAATCACTGCACTTGGGACATTCCCACACATGATCTGTCTCCTTCCTCACTAACCAACAAAGAGTCGACATGTTAAAACTATTAGCTGCAACCTGATTAGAAGTCCGCTGATTTGTTTCTCCCTCAATTATGCAAATCTTCCAGAATCATCTCCCCCCCCCCCTTCCCCTCCCCCCGGATTCGCTTTTCTATTGCATTGTCCATAAGATCCCAGACAGCCTTCACCACGTCCGCTTTATCATAAAGTAGCTCACCGACCAGAGGAGCGGCAGCAGCTGGTCTGTCAGTTTGCTGATTATCCCGCGCACTCGAATATCCTGGACAGAAAAACCATGATTTGCTCCTTATCTGAGTCTTGTCAAGAGATGCCAGCCTTCTACACCTTGGAGTCAAATTTCAGTTTTCCAAAACATACTCGGTGAGTCCGTTACAATTACATGCCGGACTGTACTGGCACATCTATTCTTGGGGGATGTGAAACGAACAACAGCGCTACACCGGACTGTACTGACACATCTATTCTTGGGGGATGTGAAACGAACAACAGCGCTACACCGGACTGTACTGGCACATCTATTCTTGGGGGATGTGAAACGAACAACAGCGCTACACCGGACTGTACTGCTCTCAAACTAACGGAAAGCTGCTGTTGCTGCCACCACCTGCATTCTCACTTTGGATTTAGTGGCTAACTCGTGAATATTCGTGTACAAAAAGTGAAACATTGACGTACACCGAATAAAGCGTATATCAGATATCGCAAAAAGAAACAATCAAGATTAGTGTGAACAATTAACATAATGTGGTCTTATTGCCTTGGGCGTCAACAGTGTGGTTCATGACCTCGTGACCTCTTATATAAAATACCATCTTGATTGTATGAATTATGAATACTTCTATTAACCAGCTATGCCGTTTGACTTGAAAGAAAATTCGGAAATTAACAACGCTAAACTGACATTCTGGGGAAAATTATGTAATTTAGCTTCTCATTTTGGGCAATTTCCAAGCTGAATTCCTCAAATAATGTCCAACATTTAACTTAGGCAGATAAATTAGCGACGGACAAAATTATACTCTGGAAGTGGGTATATAGCAACCATGGTTTGCTCAAGTCCTTGGTTGAATCTGCTGTAGCTGGGTGCACTCTGGAGTACAAGTATGGTTGTTCGTTATTGTGCTGCTTGTTGTGGATCTGTTTAGCAACTACAGTTGTTTCTGCTGGTGCTAATACAAATTATACAACAACAACCACTGCTGCTAATACAAATACCTTGCAATGTGGTTTCTCTTAATGGCACCCCACTCCAAGACGTGGAGTCGTACACCTATTTGGGCAGTAATGTAGATAAAGATGGAGGAACTGATAGAGATATTAAAATAAGAATACAAAAGGCAAGAGGGGCTTTCATAGCACTAGGGAATTTGTGGAGGTCAAAAGAAGTTAAAAGACATACTAAACTAAAAAAATTTAATTCTAATGTCAAATCAGTACTATTGTATGGGGCGGAAACATGGAGAACAACGAAGGCAATTACTAATAAATTACAGACATTCATTAACTGGTGCCCTCGCAGAATAGAAGGAATAAATTGGTATGATAGAATAACTAATGTAGAACTTTGGAAGAGAACTAAACAGGCTCCAGTGGATCAGGAGGTGAGGAAAAGACGCTGGCGTTGGATAGGGCACCCACTGAGAAAACAGGAGAACAGCATAACTAGAATGTCTTTGCATTGGAACCCACAGGGGCATAGGAATAAAGGAAGGCCAAAAACAAAACAAAAAACACATGGAGAAGAGAGCTGGAGAATGAAGTTAGAAAGATGGGGAGGACATGGGGAGAGCTCCATGTAATGGCGAAGGATAGAACGACTTGGCGTCAGTTGGTTGAGGGCCTATGCTCCATTGGGGGATAGAAAGGCAGAAGAAGAAGAATACAAATACCATCACCATTACCGCTACCACCTGTGCTACAATTATTACTGATACTACTACCATTACTACTACTGCTGCTGCTTCTAGTACTACTACAATTACTACTGCTGCTGGTGCTTGCTGCTCCTGCACCTACTACTACCACCATTATTACTACTACCACTTCTGGTACAACTTTTGTTTTGCTACTACTACCATTACTACTGCTGTTGCTGCCTCTACTACTACTACTGCTACTACTACTATACTACTATTGTCTACTACAACTACTGCTACTATTACTACTACTACTACTACTACTACTACTACTACTACTACTACTACTACTTCTACTACTACTACTACTAATACTACTACTACTAGTAGTAGTAGTACGAATACTGCTACCACCTCAACAACTACTACAACATCCCGTTTACTGTGTCAGCAATAACAATGACAGCAGCTACTACTACTACCAGTAGTAGTAAAACCACAATAACTGCTACTATCACTACTGCCAGGAGAACCACTACTACTACAAATACAGCATTAATATCACTATTACTACCACTCATACCACTGCTACTTATACCACTAATACTCCCACGACGCGATATACTACTATGAGTACTACCACTATAGGCACCGCTATTACGACAGCTACTGCTGCTGCTGCTGCTGCTGCTGCTGCTACTACTACTACTACTACTATTATTATTATTATTATTATTATTATTATTATTATTATTATTATTATTACAACTACATTTCCTCCTCGAATTGCGACTCATGCGATTTTTTACCATTCACACTTACCGCCTCAAGAAAGAAATAAATGAAAATCGTAAAGAAACAAAGATTAACTACATTGGTATGGTCAAAAAGTTTTCCGGAGTCGATGCTATGAAGTACATATTATGTATGTGTTATGTACAACATACGTACATAGATTCAACTTGTGTGTTTTATGTACAATTTGTATTAACCTTTTGTATGTTGAAAAATGTGTTGGAAAAAACGAAGTTCGACTCACAACAATTAGTGGGAACGGAAGTGTGTCGTAAGTCGAGGCAACTGTATTGTTACAATGCTAATATTACAAATGAGTGAATGATGATTTAGATGATGTAATAATAATGAGACGGGTGATGATGATTACTGGTGATGGTGATGATGATTACTGGTGATGGTGATGATGATTACTGGTGGTGATGATGATTACTGGTGATGGTGATGATGATTACTGGTGATGGTGATGATGATTACTGGTGATGGTGATGATGATTACTGGTGATGGTGATGATGATTACTGGTGATGGTGATGATGATTACTGGTGATGGTGATGATGATTACTGGTGATGGTGATGATGATTACTGGTGATGATGATGATGATTACTGGTGATGGTGATGATGATACTGGGGTAGTTGATGAGATGATACCAGCTACCCCTGCTTCCAAGTCATGTATATTGGAGAGCCGCCGTGGTGTAGTGGCAAAACGCATAGACGCTCGTCTGCGGAACCCAAGGTCGAGTTTCCTAGTCCTTACAGACCAGACATTCTTTTCTTTAAAAAAAGGACCTTGATTCCAAGGTCGACCAAGCCTTAAATGGGTACTAGGTAAAGTTCTGGAAAGTAAAGACGGTCGGCATGACGTTGACCATCTTAATCACCGAGTGCCGATTAGTGTATAAAATATTACTCTAGCACTATGTGCTTAAAACGCCTGTAGGCGTGAAAAAAGGATCTTTGCCTGCTACAACCCTTCACTCCCACAGAGAACGCTGACATGTCCAGATTTCACGTCCACATTGCCTTGGGTTGCCTGTTGGCTGCCGCCGCTTGGAGCGCCACCCTAGACACAGATTTACGCGGACGGCCCGTAAAAAGAGGCTTCTTCTCCTCCGCGAAGTGCAAGATATTTGGGTCAGGATGTGGCCCGTCCGAAGACGATCTCACCTACGGGGTCTTGTTTGATGCGGGCAGTTCCAGCACAAAGCTACGCGTCTACAGGTTGGTCTCCAGTTGTATCGTGTGTGTCTCTTACTTGCTTGTGTTTAGTATTTTCCTCCAGTATAGCTTCAAGAAATGATTCATGACAATTCCCGCCCATCGACGACGTTTAGTGCAGCATCAAAGCCTAGCATATGATATCACAACGTCAAGTGTGAGAATAGAGGTAGAGGCAGTCACTGCTGCATACCACTGGCTTGAGAATCAGCTGTACACACATGTCGTAAGTGTAACCGACTCAGAGAGCATGTTGAGAAAGGTGGAGACAGCCAGGGTTCGCGCAGACCAGAGTGACAATCATGAGGTATGCAAGGATACCCATTACCGGCCCCTTCTCTAAGACATCATCACCACCACCCCCCCCCCCCACCCCTCCACCCCCCCCCCCCCCCCCCCGCTAAAAAATATAATTGTAGTGAGTACCGGCACCTTTTTAGACACTTTTTATAGAGTACATGTTGCTTTTATATTTCTAGAAAAATAAAAGTCCTGGTAGTGATCACATTTCATGATGTCCCCAGAGTGACGCCATCAGAATCGTCCGGTTCTCTGCCCACACTGGACATCGTCTACAGCCAGCGTTTCGACCCAGGTGTGGACTCATTCGTCAATGATGAGGACGGTTTGAAGCAGTACTTGACCACAATACTGGATTCTGCCAAAGAGAATGTGCCCGAGAACAAGCAAAAGAGCACTCCCATTTATCTGTTTGCTACTGCCGGTAAGTTGGGTTGCCTCACTGATCGAAAACCATGGAGCATGTACCCAAATTAAAAACGGGCCTTTTACTGACGTTGTTCATTTTTGTTGCATACACACACACACACACACACACACACACACACACACACACACACACACACATATATATATATATATATATATATATATATATATATATATATATATATATATAGAGAGAGAGAGAGAGAGAGAGAGAGAGAGAGAGAGCATGTTTTAAGTGTAGTCATTTCTGTACGATTTAGATGTTTGTGTAAGCCTCCAATGTCACGTGTTAAGCATAGAGAAGTTCGACATTATAGCAGTGGTAAGCATTGTAAAGATAAATATTTTCTAATGGCCCATTTATTTATCTTCAAAATAATAATTCATTCAATAAATCATTTTGCAAATTAATTAAACTGCAGTTCAATCTGTTTATAAATCTACTCGATAACAATTGTTACCACCGACCGGCCACGCTAGACTCACAAAAACGGGAATTCCCGTTTGAGTTGTAAGGCCGTATATCTGGGGCTGGCCGTGCTGTATGCACATCCCCAGATATACGGCCGTACAACTCAAACGGGAATTCCCGTTTTTCACATAGCTTTGCGCAGTGGCGGTACCATAACCAATGAGGTTTTATCGAAACGTGGTTATTGCTAGTTGTATGCACATATGGGGAACTTTATCGGTATTGTGAAATTTGAGCACAGCGATAAGATTCTCAATTAGTTAGGCAAGACAGTTCTTGAAAATCCCACCATTCCGGCAACTGTGGTTTGGAGTTCAACCAGTTATTCGCTAGCATTTTGTTGCATTCACAAATAAAACATTAAAACTTGTATTTACACACTAAGTTTGTCTTCGTATTTCTCTATTCCAGGTATGCGTTTTTTAAGTGCCGAAGACGCCACAGACCTGGTGAACAACATCAAGGAGGTGTTCCAGACCTCCAGCTTAAGCCCCTTTCTCTACAAACCTGCCGGTGTGGGCATTTTGTCTGGGGAAGAGGAGGGCGTCTACTCCTGGGTCGCCGCCAACTACCTCCTGGGATTTTTTAACGAAAACAGGTAATTATGTCCCATGTCGACACAGCGAGGGAGGTGGCACAGTTCAGTTAACGGACAGACATGGCTAGAGAGAGAGAGAGAGAGCGAGGGCAGTGGCACAGTTCAGTTAACGGACAGACATGGCTAGAGAGAGAGAGGGCAGTGGTACAGTTCAGTTAACTGACAGACATGGCTAGAGAGAGAGGGCAGTGGCACAGTTCAGGAAACGGACAGACATGGCTAGAGAGAGAGGGCAGTGGCACAGTTCAGGAAACGGACAGACATGGCTAGAGAGAGAGAGAGAGAGAGAGAGAGAGAGAGAGAGAGAGAGAGAGAGCAGTGGCACAGTTCAGTTAACGGACAGACATGGCTAGAGAGAGAGAGATAGAGAGAGAGAGATTAGAAGATAGATAGAGAGAGTGAGAGAGAGTGTGAGATTAAGAGATAGATAGAGAGAGAGAGAGAGATAGCAGTGGCGCAGCTCAGTTAACGGACAGACAT